GTGGCCTGGCCGGCCGGCCGGCCGGCGTGCCCACCCCCCGGGCGCCTCTCCGCTCGGCTTGTGCCTTTTGTTGACACGCTAGAGGACACACAGTTATGTAAACACCGCAGGAGACGCCGTAGGAAATGGGGATGTGTGTGTGGGGGGGAGCTGGGTTCGGAATTTTGGGATCGATTGTCGTCCCCCCCCCGCCGGCTGGCCGAGGGAGCGTGCTCTGTGTGTGTGTGTGTGTGTGTGTGTGTGCACTGCCGTAGGGACCGATTGGCTTTTTTTGGGGGGGGGTGTAGGAGTGTAGTAGCAGCTTCCATTCCAGCGTTGAGATTTTTTGTTTTTGTTCTTTCTTTTCCTTCCATGCCAGCGCCTGTCTGCCTCCGGATGTTGTGTGTGTGTGTGTGTGTGTGTGTGTGTGTGTGTCTCCCCCGAATTCTTTACGAGTTAGGAGGTAATTGGGTGCAGGCGATGCCGGTGTGGTTACAACTTCCCTGTAGGTGGTGCCTAGCCGGCTCGGAGAGGGGCTTCGGTAACAGGCTCCCGAAAGAGATCCCTCGTGCTGCTGCTGCATTGTACGCAAAACAGCGCCAGCGTGAGTTAAACGCGAGTGTGGGTCCAGGCCGGGCAGCTGGTGCATAGCCAGGCCACCGGAGCCTTGTACCGGGGCGGCGGGAGCGCGGGGTCGGGGGGGGTGCTCTGCCTCTGCACCGAAAACGAGCGCAGGGCGACGCAGCCTGGCCAGCCGAGCGGGGTTCGGCGGTGCCCCCCGCGTCACGCCCGCTCCAGTGACGGCCCCGGGTAGTAGCGGCGCTACTCCGTTTGTAAGTATCTTCGCGGTGGTGAGAAGTTGCCTTCCCCGCCAGGGGCTGGATGCTGACTTGGAAAGGAGCGGTCTGGAACTCCAGCGTGCACAGCAAAGCCACAGGAAAATTCTGTCGCCAGTTACCATGGAAGCAGCTTCTTGCTCCTGTGTACATCCTTGTTTGTACGCCGGTTATCAGATTGTGTTCAAATTAGAAAGTAATTGGGTTTGATGTGTAGTGAGGGGATGAGGTGACTTTCGGTCATATTTTACCTTTGAATTCCTTAAAAAAAATTTTTTTTTTGGTGATGAGTGTGAGGTGTGTGTGTGTGTGGGGAGAGGTCTTGGCTTCCGCCCCCCCCCCATAATGTAGAAGTCCATTTCAGATGGACAACTAGGGACTTGGCTTTCTCAGTCCTCTTGGTTGAAGCTGTCTCCGAGGCCTCCACTTGCCATTCCTCTGGTTTGAGAAACCTGTTGGTATGACCTTCTGACTTCATTATGTTTGTTTCATTTATGTCCTTGCTAGGAAATCAAGTTTAGGCCATTGGGCATATTGATGTTGGTTCTGTTTTCTCTGGTAAATGAAGCAAGTCCTCTCCCCTCCCCGCCCCCCCCCCAGGAAATCTCCCATCTATCTCCCCTGTGGTGTTTGGATGAAATGGATGTTAATGAAATGCAGCCAGAATGCTATTTCCTGAACAGTGTTACTCACTCCTGGTACCTTTAAGGTACAAGCGTATCGTTGTCTTGGATCCTGAATGAACCCACCGTCTTTGATATCCACCCCTCCCTTACCTTTTTTAGGATGAGAGAAGATGGTTGATGGCTTGAAGATTGGTGGTGGTGATGGAGGAGCCCCAGGCTGTGAGTTTCGCTTGCCGCAGCCTGTTGGGGCTTGCTTACCAGGGACAGGGACTTCGCAAAAAGTGCCGCCCTGCTATTGTTGCCTTTCCCTGCATCAAATTGAATAGCCGCAGGAGGGACTTGCACTTGCCTGTGATAGCTTTGATAAAATATCCCTCATTAATGCCACTTTATATTTACTGTGTGTCACTGGAGACGCACAAGGCTTCATTTAGCGACTCGTGTGACGAGACAAGCTTGCATTATTTGCCTGGGACATTTTGAAGGAACAAGAGACCCATTGAGCAATCTTTTGAAATGAACAAATACGAAAAAGGGGGGAATAAAGGAGCAGGCAGTTCTGTGGAACAAAGAGTTTTATTCATATGGATGTTGTACATGCTTTATCCAGTTTTCCCCAATGGCTCTCCTGGTTCAGGGGTGTAGGACCAGGAAGACGCCAACAGGCTGGACACTTTCTCTTCCTCTCACACTTCCTGACTTCACATTCTTATCAGAGCTGGTCCTGGACTCACTGCCTGCTCCTTCCTCTCCTTCTCCCTCTGAAATCCCAGAAGGTAACCAGCTCCAGGGTTTCAAAGGGAGATTTTTGATATCCTTTCTGGCAGCCCTGAATTCCATCAGAAGAAAAGTGCTAGCTACCTGTTGAGATTGATAATCCTTGGAAGATATATTGGTTGAAGGGAAAAGAGATGTCACTTTTCCATGATGTGTGTCAAGGCTGATAGTGTGTCAGATTGGTAAGATGCCTTGCACAATTACATTAGCCTTGCTATATTTATTTTTAAAGAAATCTGGTGAAAATTCAATCCAAAATTTCTGTTAGCATTAATAGTGCTTCAGATTTTTTTCCACTTTTCCCCACACCTGGTAACATTTTACCTTTGTAGTTAAGTGCATTTTTATTGTTCCCCGGGCTATATTGTTAAATGTTTTTTGTCTTTTGGCTTTAAAAATTGATAAATAGTACTCTGAATATAAAAGGTCTCATTCTCTTTGGGTTTTGCATGTGAAATTTAAATGTCTAATTGGCCACTTAGAATTCAGATTAAAAGAAATTTTTTTAGTATGTTTGCATATGTGTGTTAAACAAAAGATCCGGTTTAATGTGAGTGAATTTCTTGATAGGAGAAAACTAATCCATAGCCTGGTTTGAATGGAAATTCGCCAGAATACAAAGGAAATTTATAAGAATTAAATCCAAAGGATTAGAATGTGTATACATTTCTTGGGAGGAACAGTACTGACCATCACACTGAAAATCCAGCACAGAAAGGAGAAATCACACAGCGACATCTGTTGCAGAATTGAAAATTTGCTGCTTTGAGTTGGAAGCAATTAGTTCTGAGTAAACACCTAATGATATCAATGTGTGTGTGTTTGTGTGTGTGTGTGTCCTGGTACAGATATGAATACACACATACTTACATGTGCGTGCATATGCACGTTATACAAAAACTCACTCTGTACAATATCTATATTCTCTTGAAAATATGTGTTGTAGAAAATATAAAGTTTCATCACAAAAGCTCTTTTAAAAAATATTAGAGAGTTTTATGATCGTGGACTTTTTGAAAGGAGGACAGATAATAGAAATCAGCTAAAGAAATTCTCTGATTTTGAAGTGAGACCATCAAAGCCCAGAGAGGGAAGGGCCTTGCTCACAGCTGAACAGAGGCTAAGTTCGCTACAGATCCTGGGAGGGGACAGGCTCCTTGATGCCCAGCCAGTGGGACCTTTTCTATTCCACCTCCTGGGAGAGATGCCCAGTAGTGATATGATGTACAAGTGGAAGCTACCTTGGCTAAACATATTTTGTATTCTGAAAGCAACAAGATTAATTGTTGCCCTAGGTAATAAACCCATGGACCAGGAAGGACCTGTGGGAATCAAAGACCTGTTTTTGGTCACATTGTCTTTGGTGGTGACAAATCATTCTGCAACCTCTGGACTTTCTTTGGCCACCACAGAATGTGTGTTT